TTTATAGTTTCTCTTGACCTCAGGGAATGTCTGTATAAACTACAGATTTCACTCGCATTTACTTGGAAAGTGTTTGTTTTTGTAATTTCATTCAGTTATTTAGTTATATATTTTGTAATACTTTATTATTTATATAATTACTACATACCCTAAATCCTGATTTTTTCCTTCTTACTAGTTTTAATTATAACCATAATTTTGTAAAATAAACATGCAATTGGTTGCTTAATATCTGTCTCTCCTGCTAGAATACAAGCTCTTTTGGCTAATCATTTATTGTTGTATCTCCCAAGCCTAAAAACAAAAATACATGGTAATTGCTCAATTAATATTACAGTATCTTTGAAATATCATTCAAATATTAGTGAAATGAAAGTTCTCACAAATGCTCGCTAATTTTCTTTTTTAAACACCATTTTGGCTGGAATCCTTCACACTTTTTATAGCAGGTGGGATGTATTTTGCTGTAAGATACAGAAAACCTTACCAACACAGACTTAAATCGAAAGCCATCAGGTGTTTACTTAGCCATAATCCAAAGGTGGGCAGTTCTAATGTTGGTCCAATGTGGTCATGCAGGACCTAGGTTCTTCCCATCCTCATCCTTAGCCATCTGAAGTTGCTGGCTTTCTACAGTATTGCATCATAATGCCATAATGCTTCATAGCCCCAAAATGGTGGCCACATTCTCATAATTCAATGTGTAAAGCAGGAGGCAAGGAGAGTGACATCAAAAAAAGGGGATATTTCCTTACTTGTCAATATCCTAGAAATCTCTCCAGCCCCAGCAGCCTTCTCCCCCTTCCGATGACAAGAACTGAGTCACGTGCCTACTTCTGAACTAACCGTGGGCAGAGGGAAAGCAACGCTATTAATGTCCAATCCTGATTCATCCCAGTTTCTTTGGCAAAAATAAAGGGAAACTGCTGGGTACGCAAGCAACATTGTGCCTGCTCTTCTGCTTTGTTAAATGAACCACACTGAAGCTCTGTTTTCCGCAGAATCCTCCAGCTTTTAAAATTCTTCAGGCTTTTTCTTTTCTGTGCCTACATTTTAATCATTACGTCTTTTCTTTCATATCTTTTTTTCTGATTAAAATGGCCTTTTGAAACATCTACTCTCTCTACTCATAGGTGTCTTTTATTGAGTTGTTTCCATACTCAATTTCTGCATTTTAATTCTTTTTCTTTTCAAAAGCACTGAGACATAGCACATTTTCAAAGGAAAAACAAAGTTTATTTTGCCCCTTTTTTTTCCATTCCACATATATACTTCAGATTCTCAACTGTATTAGGAGCCTCAGAAGTCAAGAAACCATTGTCTGCTCTCCTTACAATTGCCAGCAGCATTTCACAGGTGCTAAATGTACTTGACGTGCCCTTCCCCTTTATAGTTGTTAACCAGAGACAGACAAACTTTAACAGGAAGCAATAGGAATCAGGATTTTAGTCAAAAAGTACCCGTCGCATTACAAACATCCTCTACTAATTTGTTTCTATTTAATTATCTGCATATTTGCTTCTTGCTGGTGTCAGGAAGTCCCAGAACACAGTGTATTTCCCACTTCATACCACCTTTTCCAACATCTTTCAGAGAAAGAAAGGACAGGCTTGGGTTTCCACGGTAACACAAGTGTGATAATTGAAGGTATCTGGCTATAGGTGAGATAACTCCCTTTCAGATTCAGTGGAGAGAGGAGAAATGAAGATTTTCTTTCTTTTTATTCTGGCAATGCACTTTGGAAACTAAAGGGATCCCACAGTGACGGTTAGCATTAAGTTTTCACTATCTTGCAGATTTACAGCTCTTGGGAATAATTCAAATTTCTTTTATACCATTTTTATCTTTTATTTCCAACAAACAAATGAATGAAGATATAAGTTATTTCTATAAGCATCTCAGAATAGACTTTATGCTGGCATAGGAATGAACATGACTAAGGGGTTAGAAAATAGACATTCATCTCCCACCCAAGTCCTCTAAATTCTCTGCACGTCCTTACATCCTTTTTACAGCAGCTAATCTTTCACTCAACATTTCACATACGGCCACAAATCAGGTAAGTACCATCATTTAAGCCAGAATAGGTGAGAAAATATGCTCCGATCTGTCATGTTGCTTTTGCCTCATGGTGGTTAAAAATCAACCTTTATGGTACTGAGCATGAAATCTGAGGCCTGTCAATATAAGGCCTGTAAATAAATGAGCTGTAACCATCCCATGGGCTGCAGTCTCTATACTCCTTCTTAACAAAAACGTCAGCATTGATGAGCGGTCAGGGGAAATATCCTGAGAAATGTCACAAAGCTGTCCTACTCTCTATTACGCTATGTAGAGAGACCAGGGAGCCCTCCCACTATTTTTGTGACAGCTTCAATTCAAAGCTTCTCAACATCTGGAAACCTGGGAGTCATGAAAACAGTTGCTTAAGGTGACCTTTTGGACCCACAATCCCAATGCAAATTTCTCAAAAGCATAAATCACTGGACCTTTATTCCTTGCAAAGTAAATGGACTTGGAGCTCCTCTGTAATGCAAGGTACTAGATGGGCTGTCATGATCTAGAGAGAAAGCTTCATGCTTCCTCGCTCTGCTTAACCCCTGACAAACCTAGGAACTTCTTATCACCAAGATGCACAATTAGAATCTTCAGAGACAGTGTCTTTCCTTGGAAGAGAAGTATAGCTGCTACTAACCTAAAGTAACTATGAATAAGCATACCATTTTTACACAAAATATGAGACTTCTGGAAAGCTAGGTGAACACCATACTTACCTACATCTTCTTGAAACATCCCTGCCAAAGTAGCTCAGATATGAAGCATCCATGTGAGCTCTCTCAATTTTAATTCACTATTTCAAATTACTAGCCTAGGATGAAATAGTAGATCCTGTTCGATTTCAATTCCCTTAAAACAGTCTTGATTCTTAGTTCTTTTTATTAACACAATACCTTCACTGCTCATTCTGGTGGCTCAGATAGTACCATTCCTATTTTAATGACATGTAATCAAGAAATGCTGTTTTATTTTACTACATACACATGTTTAAACTGAGGACATTTGCCCTCAATAATTTAAAATGAAAACTTGGTGCGTGTTTATTACAGCAAGGTAATGCAAATGTAAGTTATCCATTCTAATATAACGAATCTACAGGGAAATAGGAGACTGCTAAATTTGAGTAATCTTTGTACTAGTTTGACTATCGACAGAAAAGATAGTGAAAGATTACCTGGCTTTTAATTCAGACCAAAATCCCCTTGGCATGATGACCTTGTGGGAAAGAGGAACAGGGGAGAGGTATGCCAGGCTCTAACAATAGAACTACAGAAATGTATTATTCGCAGGAAAAGTGCGACAGTAACAAACAGGTGAGACTAGTTTGAGAAGGACATCGTTTAAAGAAAGTAAACCGAATAACCAGTTACTACAAAAAAAAAAAAAAAATGCAGGAATGCTTGGGAAATATAATGTCTCCTAAATTTGACGTTATGAGTGGGAGGGGGTGTGTAACTAAGATGCAATGCTAGCGACAGAACGCTAAGTTTTAAAACTTAATAATTAAAGAAAAAACTGTTTTAAAAGGCACGCCTGGAAGACTCATGCAACTGCTGCACGACGTCTCCTTAAGGACCGGGAACATTTCTCACCCAGAAGACAAAAGTCCCTGTGTTCTCGATTCAGCCCACATCCCTCAGCACCATTTCCATGCCCATCATTTAGGCAGAATGCCACGGAGACGACGTTAAAAGTGGAATTCATCACTCTGGCTTGCAACGCATCTTGTTCCTTTGCCAGAACAGGGCACAGCAACTGGCTCCTCAATCTCTGCCCCTCCCAAACCCCAGCAGCAAGCCCGGTCTCCATCCCGCCGGCCTCTGTGGCAAGGGGCTCGCGAGCTGTGGTTGGCTAGGCCGAAGTTCCGTCATTCACCAGCTCGCCTACGATTGGTTGGCAGAGAGTGCGCCAAACGCCCCGCCTGGCTAGGCACTGGGAGGTGGGCTTGCGGGTCCGGCGACTAGCGTTTTTTCCGATTGGTTGAAGGAGGGGAGTCACGTGGTAATAGTCGGCTCTCTTATTGGTCGTGAGTGGTACCATAGGGGGCAGAGACGTGATGTGGTTGGCTAGAAGGAATCCCAGCTTCCCACTAGATGCCCCCACTGGCTGTTGCTATGAGGTGTCCCTGGGCCTTCTGGTTGCCGTTCGGGGTTCCGCTGTCCGGGTTTTTAATTCACCTGTGGCTGACAGGGCGTGGGAAGAGCTCGACTTCAGTCCGGCACTGAAAGGGGCGGGCCTAGAAGAGATGTGGGCGGCACCCCGGCGACGTCAGTGACCGTGGACCGGGCTTACGTGGCGTTCGGCCGCCTCTGACTTGCCCTTCGGGCGCACTATTGGATGGGGGCGGTCACCCTCCCATCAGTGTCCTAACGTTCCAGGACCAAGCTTCATTTTGTTGCGTTAACACAGCCTCAGGCAGAAGCCTAGAGGTGCCCGTCCCTTAAGGCTTCACATGCTAATACCCGATAAAACCAAAGCTCTAGGAGTGCTAAGAGGCTGGGTGGCGTCGGGCAAAGGCTCTCGCAGCCCCTCTTGGACCTTGGGCAACTCTCCCCCTCACTCCCCGCCTCAGGGTAGAGCTTGGCGGTGGCTCTTTCCCCTAGACCACCACATCTGTGTTGAGTTCTGAGCGTGGCAGTCTCAGGTTGATGCTGCTCCCGGCTCGGGCGGGAACTGCGCATGCCCGAGGGCCCGACTGGGCGCGCGAGACGCAGCGCTGCTGGGCGGCCGTCGTGGTTCTTTATATCCGCGCGGGCATAAGCTTCCGCGCCGCGCAGAGCCTCCCGGGAGCCCTCGCGGCCGGTCGCCTAGGCGACGGAGGTGGGGGGGCGGGGGCGGGGGCTGCGCCGCGGGCCCCGCCCCCCGCCCCGAGCCGCCGGGCCCCGCCCCTGGCCGCGCTGCGGCTCGGGCTCGGGCTCGGGCGCGCGCTCCAGTGCTGGGGGTAGCGGCGGCGGCGGCGGCGGGCGGGGATCTGGGCGTGGAGGCACGAGGGGCGGGGCGGGCGGCACTGCGGGCCCGCGGCTCGGGCGGCTCCGGCGGCTCCCGCTCCCGCTCCCTGCTCGCCCTCAGTCCCAGCCGGCACCCACGGGGCCGCATCGTAGCCCGGCTCGGCCCATGCCCAGGGCCGCTGCTCCCTCAGCTGCCGCCGCCGCCGCCGGGGCCCGGGGGGCCGCCGCGGCCGTGAGGTGGGGGCGGCCGCGGGAGGCGGCGGGGCGGGCCGCCGGGGCCGGGGCTGGGGGCGCAGCGCGGCCGGCGTAGGTCTATGTCGCGGGCGGTGGCGGCGGCGGCGGCCGCAGAGGGACGATGCGCGAGTACAAAGTGGTGGTGCTGGGCTCGGGCGGGGTAGGCAAATCCGCCCTGACCGTGCAGTTCGTGACCGGCACCTTCATCGAGAAATACGACCCCACCATCGAGGACTTCTACCGCAAGGAGATCGAGGTGGACTCGTCGCCGTCGGTGCTGGAGATCCTGGACACGGCGGGCACCGAGCAGTTTGCGTCCATGCGGGACCTGTACATCAAGAACGGCCAGGGCTTCATCCTCGTCTACAGCCTCGTCAACCAGCAGAGCTTCCAGGACATCAAGCCCATGCGGGACCAGATCATCCGCGTGAAGCGGTAAGCGAGGGCGCAAGGGGGTTTGGCGGCTGCACCCGGGAGTCACCGTCCCGGGGCCAGAACTCCCCGCGCCGGGCCCTGGGGAGGGGGCTGTCTGGCGGGTGGCTCCGAGCTGGAGGCTTTACTATTGTCATTCTGCTCCTCCTCCTCAATCTCAAATTTGAGTGCTTTGTTTCACAACTAAAATTTGGCATCCTGTTAGCCCACAGAACAGCTCTTTGTCTCTTGGACATTGTTAGCAGCGCTTGTACAGAGCCCCCAAGGAAACAAAGTTTAAAACTTGCAGGGGGGAAGGGTGGATAGGTTTGTGTTGGGAAGAGAGGAGCTGTGCAGGTATAGGCGAGATATTTGCACATTGAACAACAACAACAAAAAATCTGCCTTTGCAATGTTTGACAGCAAAAATTGCTCACACACCTATACAGTAATGTCAAGTACAGAGGAAAGAGACCTTTCTCATCTCATTAAAGGTTTATGGTTCCAAGGCGTTTTACCAAAATGAAGTCTCTAATTTAGTGCAAAATTTTAAAGACAGATTATCAGATTATTTGAAGACATCATAAGCTAAGTGGGTTTCGAGAATATTAACACAAAGGAGTACAAATATGCCATTCACAGGAAAAGAATGCAGCTTAACTGTTTTGTGTTTGCTTGTTTGTTTTAATATAGTTATCTTAATCCCTTCCCCCCCCCCAAAAAAAAAAATACTTCCTGGAAACAGAATCTGCTTCAAAAGTGTGACTTAAGTATTAGCTAATTTAAACTTAATGTTAATAAGCTTTTATATATATATATCAATTCTTTTCTAACTTATACATTTTGGAAATATAGCTAATAGCTTAAATGATTTAAAATGTTTGTTTTTTCTTAAATTCACTTAGTATATTTTTCTGTGTACTTTCGTGCATTATAAATGTGATAATATCTTAGTTAAAAGTTTTGGCAAATTTTTCTTATTACTACTTAATTACACATTACTGTTTTATCTAGTTCTTGTTAGCTAATGCCTGCCGATAATTTCGGTGTCCCTTTTTCCTGCCTTATTCTACCTGGACCCTAAATCTGAAGACCTTTTCTGAAAGATGGTTGTAAGTGCACTGTGGATGCAATGACATTGTAAGTCAGTTTGAGTCCACTCATTTTGAAAGAGCAAGGATCAAATTATGTGTACCCAGGGGATGCTCAAAAATTCATTACAAGTAGTGGGTTTATAATGCAACACAGGAGATCAAAGAGAAGACCCTCTCTCCATTGCTCCACCCCCCCCTTAACTAATTGAGTATGCACTTTAATAACTGAACTGAAACCATGTATATTATTCATCCTTGTGTTAAATTCCAATCTAGAATAAAACAGGTATTTTCGTGGTCTCTGCTGCTAAGATTTCTTAATTTGATAGCTTTTTACTTCTCTAGTCTCATTTTCCTATAGTTAAATGTTTATAGTTAAGAGATGAACAATTCCGGTGTTAAACTTAGAATGAGGATGGCATTTAAGGGGCTACATTTAAGTGACTTAAATCCTTACTTATTACCCCTTCCCCCAGCACGGTTCAATTAAAAAGAAACAAACCAGACAAACTGCAGGATAGTCTGATACATTGCCACATGTCAGTGTTAGGCCAAATAGACACATCCAAAGATAACCTAAGTAAATGCTCCAACTGCCTCACCCTTCACATTTAGATATAGGCATAAAGATATGAAGATGTGTATATACAGTGATAAAGCCACATACCCATGGCTAACTTCTTGACACAAGACTAGGGAACAAATATGGCAAAACATTGTTGGATAATATGGTCCACATAATTTTATAGTTTCTTATAATTTAGTGCAGATTACTTTTCTCAGTTATAGGTTAGTCTAAACTCGGTATATTGGAACAATTTATTTATTTTCACTGTGACCCAGAGGAAAAAAATAAGGTAAAATTCTGCATGCCCAGATACCATTTTGCTCACTAGTTTCCATTCTTGATATAAAAACATCATTGATCAGCTGAAGTAGAGTCATACATTCAATTTCACGAGAATTCGAACATTGTATACGTAAGAACCTCTTGGACCCTCACTTGTGTGTCTTTGTAATACAATAGTAGTTAGGTATTACTACTCCTCATCCTTACTCCAGCATCTGGCTTCCCATCATTGATAGAGAGGACATTTAAACCAAGATCTGTATGAATGCTGGTAGTCTCTTCTTTACCAGTCTTTCAACTTGATATCTACTGGCAAATTCAGTATCAGCTTTAGGTCTAGGTCAGCACTTTTCAATAGAGATATAATGTGCGCCACATAGGCAATTTTAATATTCCTAGTAGCTGATTTAACAAAAAAACATAAATGTGGAATTTTAATTATGTATGTTATTTAACCCACTGTATTTAAAATAGAATCATTTTGACATGTCAGTATTCAAAAGCTGCTAATGAGATATTCTACTTTTTTATACTGTGTCTTTGAAGTTTGCAATGTATTTGACATAGTACATCTCAATTCAAGTCACATTTCAAGTATTCTGTAGCCATATATGTCCATATGGCAGCTCAGGCTGCCATATTGGACAACACAGGGTCCAAGATGTATATGATTTGGGGAAATGCTTAAGCTTATTTCTCTAAGCTTCAGTTTCCTTATCCATGAAATAGAGAATAGCATGAACCCCAGAGTCATTGTTAGAATTAAATGAGATACTATATTTAAAGATTCCCAAAACAATACCTAGTACACAGAAATTGCTCAAAAAATCCTAGCTGTCATTCTTTAATAATGTTGTCATTTATCTTCCTTAAATTTTACTCTTGATGTCAATGTAATTTTAGAAAAAATAAATTTGTAATTGCATTTTGGAATTAATTACTTAGCATAGACAAGGTGAGGCTAAAAAGCAATGAGGTTAAAATAATCCTTGGAAGAACGGTGTTGGTATTCTCTTGAAATATTTTCCCTATGAAGGACCTTATGGAAAAGGGCATGGGAATGAAAATTTAATTTCAGGTACAGTATAGCACTAATGCATAGCCAAAAAATGAATGGAGCTTTTCATTGGATTGCTATTACTTGGAATGTTTCACTTTTAAGAAATAGGAAACTGACCCATACTCCCTTAAGTGTCTATAAGTGTACATACCTACATACACACATACGACCTCTTGTCAAAGCCAAGTGAACCAACTGAAAATGGCTGTAATTGTAAATTCATATGCTTTATTTTCTTAATTTGATTTTGGGTGAGATGATACACACAAAGTAGAGTGATAGGGATACAGGAAATTTTTTCAGTTGAAATAGAACTAGAATTTTTTCTGGTTTTGTCATTGCTTTTCTTATCGTTACCCATCCCAGGATCAGCCATGGTCCTGACTTGAAGTTCTTGAAACGTGTTATAAAAGCCTGTCTGCTGTTAGACTAAAGTCCAGAAATCTTCACCATGACCTTCCGCAGCCCAGCTTGCGTTCACCCCTCCCTGCCTGTGCAGTCTCACCTCTTGCAACCTTCCTTTTACTCTACACACAGACCTCAATTCTTGAAAGTATCTTTCTCTGGGCTCTCCTTTGGCCTGTAGAAATCTACCTTTATGCAGAGTTAATTCCTACCCAGTCTTTCACCCTCATTCTTGCTTAATCCATTTATGCTGGAGGTTGCAAACTTTTTGTGTGAAAAATCAGACCTTGGCAATGACCTTGAGCAGGATATAAATAACTCCCACAAGCTTAGTGTTCCAATAATGGAACACTAGGCATAGATAAGTTAAAAGATATTTTTCCCACTGAGGGAAGCCTTCTATGTTCTCTCAAGCCAAAGTAACCCCCTTCCTGTCTTCCCTTACTAGACTAACTTTATGCCTCACCTCTTCCCTCAATCACGCATGTCCTGTCCTTTTCCTTTTCTTTGAAGCACCCATCTACATTTAATTACTTGTGTGATAATTTATGGGTAGTCAGCCTTTCTCACAAAACTCTAAGCCCATGTAGCTAGCACAGTTCCTAGCACATAGGAAACAAAACAAAAATGTTGGAAAAAATGAACGTTCAGAAAGAAAAGTATTTGTATTGTCCTTTGGTCTCAGTTTTCCTAAACATTTTGATTTCATAGATGGAGATGATTTTTTAAAGTTTATTTTGCAGATGGAGATGATCGTCTTTCAGTTCGAAGTTTCTGTGAGAATACTTCTAGTTGGGGCAGTGTTTAATAGGAACCTCAAAGAATAAGAAGCATGATATATTCCAGATGGAGGAGATGGCACAGGAAATGCATAGAATATGTTTTTTGGATGATTAAATAGAGCAGATTGGCAAAACACAGAATTTATATAGAAGTGTGAGGGGAGGTAAGGTGAAGATTTTTAAAGCTAAATTACTGAAAGTTAAAGACTTTGGACTTGATCCTATAGTCAAGGACCATAATCACAATTGTCATAGGTGGCTTAGTTGTAATAGACTACTCTGTTTTATAACAGGAGGAATCGTCAGAAATGTTGTGATAATCCAGTTTTTATATGAAGTGTGAAGATCCTGAATTAGCATGGTGTCTGTAGTAACAGAAAGGAAAGAAGGGATGCAAGGAATGTTGTAAAGAATGAATTAATCAAACTCAGTGGTAGAAAAAGAGGAAAAGGTCAAAAGTAACCTTGACATTTTGAAATGAATGAATAGGATTATGGAGGAATAGCTGGGGGAGATTATTTGAGTTTTAGAGATGGTAATTATCCAGATAGCCAGCCTAATAAGTAATTAGAACATTTGAATAAAGCCTGAAAGGTCAGGTTATGTATGACTATGAAGACTCAGGCTCATCTGCATAGTTCAGATTGGGAGAGTAGGTGAAACCTACTGGGTATAGTATAGAGACAGAAATGAATGGATATGGCTAAGAATAGAAATGAGAAAAATGAATGAATATAGCCAAGAATAGAACTTGAGGGTTGTAAGATACACAGTGCAGACTTCCTATATTGCAGTAGGTGAGAAGGCGTGGGGTGTTTTAAGATTGGGAAAAA